ACCTGTTGCCATCGAGTCAGTTATGACTCATAGCAACCCTACAAGATAAAGTAGAACTGCCCCACAGGGTTTCCAAGGCTATAATTTTTACAGAAGCAGACTGCCACATCTTTTTCCCGCCAAGCTTTCAGTTAGCAGCCGAGCGCTTAAACACTTAACCACTGCACCACCAGGGCTCCTTAGAGGAAATATTTCTCATCATGCTTGGAAGGTGAGGGACTATTTTAAAGTGAGGCTGAATTACCAACTACTGCCCATATGATTCTTCACAGGTAAGAGAAAGCAGAGAGGACAAATTGCTTAGGAGGACTTGATGGTTGATGATTAGGTAAACTAAACTCAGAGCTGTTGTACCAGCTTGAGAGTGGAATGGCACTGTTGCCTCCCTCTCCATCCTTTTCAAAATCTGAGAATTTACAAAGCCTTAAATGTCTCATAAAAATGGATGAAACCAAGTGTTAATGGGCAAGGACCCCTTATTAACCGAAGTGCTTCTCTCTGGAGAACCATGTACATCTGTCAGTGGACCCTCGTTTTCTGGGTCCTTTAGCCTTCACTCAAATCTAAGGTCACATACATATTTATTTGAAAGATAACTGGGCGAAAATAACAGAACCAAACTGGTAATCAGAGATATAACACATTTTTCACCAAATCCCTGGCAACTAAGATGCTGGTGGAAAAAAGACTTGTTCTTCCAATTTATCTTTTCCTTTGGACATATAGTCTACTTTCGAAAGTTTCTCTGTGTGTACTGAAGAAGCCTAAGGGTCAGGTTTTGATTGCAATAAAAGCAGAGAATGATAGCTTTATATCTACTAATACTGTAATGCTTAATAGTGCTTGCTTTATGCCAGGCACTATTCTAAGCACTTCAGATACACTGGTTCATTTACTCCTCACAAGAGCCCTATAAGGTAGGTACTATTATTACCCTTATTTTACAGCTAAGGAAACAGACACAGAGAGGCTTAGTGACTTTTCCAAGGTCACACAGCCAGTACATGGCAAAGATGGGACTCAAATCCAAGCAGTCAGGCTCCAGACTATGCTCTTAACCACTAAGCTAAATGGTATCTCACAAGATGAAACTAAACCACAGGAGAAGATGTTTGGATTAAATAGGAATAATCCATTCTTTAAGCTCACCAATTCTATAATACACAGAAACACAAGTGACTTTGGATTATCTTTTTCTAAACTCTCTATATGATTGCTCAAGTCCAATCTTCCCAGTGCCAGGATCTTGACTCTCTGGTTATCTTGAAATACTATGATCTTAAGAAACAAGAATTTTTTACAAAGGTAGTAGGAAAAGTCACTATTGCTAAGATTTGACTATGACATTACTTCCAAGAACATACTCTTTTTGCAAAGTGAAAACTAATGCAGGTAGGTTCTGGGTTCTGTCAGGGTGAAATACTCACTACTCCATGCACTGGGCCAGGGAAATCCTTCACCTCACTTTCACACTGCTTGGGTGCCATTTTGCTCTGATTTTTAAACTCATTTGTTCTGATATAGCTCTTTATTCTTTCATCCTTTCCCCAGTCCCAAAGCAGTCTTCTGAAACTAGCCCCCTTTTCTGAAGCCTGGACCTAACATCCATATCCATGGGCAGGACTTCCCCTTAGCTCCAGGTAGGAGAGGGTGGGGAAACATGGCGGCTAGGGCACAGGCAGGGGGCAGCCATATTGGTTGCTTATTTTATTTTTTCATTGTGGTAAAAAAACATACAAAACTTACCATTTTAGCCATTTAGTCATATTTTAACCATTTAACTATCTGTGCTTCATGTCCACTTACTTAAAGCCTGTGTAAAAGGAGCAATCTTTGCACTTGAAGAGCTTCTTCCCGCCATGTTTGTCCCGGTAATGGCGTCTGATACTCTGGATGTAGCCAGAGGAGAATTCACAGAATTCGCAGTGAAGAACGACTTCAGTTTTCTGCTCAGTGCCAGCAGTGGCCCCAGAAAGAGGCACAGGGCTCACACGGCTGTTGTTCCTTGCCAGGGCAGCTGACTGGTAGTGGTTCAACTGCTGCTGAACATCTGGGGGCTCTGAGTATGACGAGTCTGTGGAGAGATAGGGACAATGACACTGGGTGCACAGAACACAGTAGAGGTTTGATGCTTGAAAACCCCCGACAGTAGTTTTGAGTATTTTTTTTAAAGGGAAAAGTATGATTCCTTCTTTCATCTTAGTTTACATTCTACCACACAGATCTGGGGAAATGCAGGTAGGGAGGAAGTGTCACTTCTTTAATCTGACTTTGAGGACTCACAGCATTTAAAAATAAAATTCTGAGGTTAAAGGTTTCAAAGAGAAGGAAGAAAGTAAACTGTTTTTTAAAGGAAATTGCACCGTGGCAACAGGCTGCCACAGAATACCCGTCCTTGTCGGTGAGATAAACAAACCTACATAATGTACACAGGAGTCTACACAAGAAAGGAAAGTAGATGATGCAATATCTCCTCTTCTGCAGCTCAGAATTATTCAAGGCGATGAAAAAAAAAAAATTCGGTCTTTAACAGAAATGCTGAAGCACATGGCACTCACAAATATAAAAATGTTTTATGCCTTCACTGTCGAGTGATTTAAATTTTAAAAAATAAAAATCCAATAGTGTGTCCCTGGAATGAATGTTTAAAGCTTAGTCAGCATTAAGATGGAGATTTATTCATAAGTCCCATTAAAATGCAATTCTAAACAAGTTTCCCTGAAAGGTATTTTAAAGTTTGCAATTTGGAGTAAAATGTCAGAAATGAGACAGGCACAAATCTTAATCCTGAGAAGCTTCCATGGCATGTGATGGAGAAATCTGATCTAGATGGGAGGAGGGGAAATCTCAGAGTTTCTTCTTTAGATTTAAAAAAAAAAAAAAAAGGAAGTAAAAAGAACCTTTTCCCAACACACAGCTCTGAAGGTTGAGGTTTTCCCAACACACCACTCTGAAGGCTGAGGTCAGGAATTCAACATTGTCCTGCACAACCTACCGCTGCCTATGAATGACACAAATGAAGCCCATGAATACCTCGCAGATGAATTTCAGTGGAACTTTCCTTGAAAAGAAAACAAAGGGCTCTTTTCTTAAGCCTTTCAAAAAGCAGGGGGTGGGAGGTAAGGGGATAGAAACTGTACAAGCCTCCTCCTGATTTGATGGACACTTAATTTTCCAAAGCATGATTCCCTGAGGCACGACATGGAGGAATTCTGTAAAACCCGTATTTGATGAAATGAGTACCATCCATCCCGGCAGCCTCTTCGAAAAGAAAAACAAAAGCAGAGCAGCCTCCCTTACTGTGGGGCCATCTTCTGTCTTCAAAATACTAAAATACCTTCCCTTCTTGTTCTCCTCCTCCCCTCCTCAATTCATACTCCTCAAGATTGAGGGGGGGGGAAAAATCCCTTTGGAAATTGTAAACAAACCTGCCATACACAAAAATAAAACAAAAGGAAACTTCAATATCTCCAACCCTCCAAGGGTTCATTACCAGGTGTAAACGGAAGACAAAGGAAGAAAGGAATGACACAACTGAATTCATTTTACCCGGTTCTTTTATCTCCTCTTTCTTTATTCTTCTACCCTAGCAGATGAACCCACTCAGGATCACAATAACTCGACTGTCAACTTCTCATTCTTTCTTTCAATAGCAGGTTTGTTTACCATTTCATGGATTGTTCAAGATGTTTTCTAATTAAGCCCTCACGACCAGTTTCTGCTTAAAACGCATGCCCGGTGAAGCACAAAACACACTCCACCTTTCTTGTTAACATGGTCCTGAGCACAGCTGAAATGCTGCCCTGAGGTTGCCCTGAAAAGTCTCTGGCCTCTCCATAGTTGGTCCTGGTTTGTGCTCTGAGCTCCGCAGGGCAGAAATTCTCTAACAAGGCCAGAGTCAGGTCCTGCTGCTTATGACCTGTTCAGGACCCACAGATCTACCCAGAGACACAAACAAATGTCCTAAGGACTCATCCACTTCTCGATAAGCGGCTGCAGTTCCCACCATGACATAGCACAAACCTCAGCGGGTCTCCCAGGTACAGTTAGTATGGATGCTGGTAATTGTCACAGACACCAGGCAACTGACAGCTTCAATCTCTTTACAGCAAAGCTATAAAGAAATAAATGGCTCCCACTCAGATGATAAGCCAGGTGAATTAATCTCCCCCTGCCCTTCCCACACCCCTATACCCAACACACTCACTAGACCTCTTAAGCAGATCCCTACAACGGAATGGGGTCTCCTTTTACTTAACACATCTTTCTTGTCTCTAGGGCCTATTGCACATTATTTCATCTACCTCATAAAATAAATTCTAGATTTTGACTGCAGTATTTATATATGATATGAAACTTGAAGAAATAGAAAATGCAAGAAGTCGTGGGGAAGCATTCCAAGAAAGGGAGGCTCATCGCCTTCTTGAATGGCAATGCAAAAAGAGCGGCTGTGTGGATCCGTGTTATACATTCCTATTTTCCTGCTTAAAATTAGATGGGCAGGTTTACTTACAAAAATAAGCAAATTCTACTACTTGCGGTATATCTGTAATAATGCCCAGAATACAACTTTTTGGGTCTTTTTAGAGCTTTACTTTCCTCTCTGGCGCCAAGACACACACACTCTCTCTCTCTCACTTGGAGTTTGTGAATAATGTACGATTTTAGCACTCTGGGCACTAAAGTGACAAAGACGTGAGCATGTATGCTTTCACCGATCTTAAAAAAGCCCACTTGCTAAGCTACATAAAACTCCAGTTTGTTCATGAAGCACAGCCTGAAGTGCAAGAAGAGGGTCGTTTGTGCCCAGGTTAGAATGACAAACAGATTGTTAGCAGTGAAGGACATGTCACATAAGTTAAAGATCATCAAGACTGTTCTCTTTTATTCTGAGCTTAAGGAAAATAAAAACACCCTGAGCTTGGAGAGCGAGACTTCTGGGCACAGAGGGAGATGGGGGGAAGGATACAGGGACTACAGTACAGCGATGAGAATCCACTGGGAAACCCTGCACTCAACTGTGGCCACACAGTTACATCTTTATGACCTGTATGGCCAGTGGAATCTACAGAAAAGACTAGGTTGGTCCACCTTCAAAGACAGGGCATGGCTGAGCATAACCATACATTTCTAACCTAACCCTGAGACATGCAGTCTGAGACAAGAGTTTAATCCTCTGATCTGTGACTTTATTTACATGGAAAGTTTTAGAAGTTAAATTATAATTTATAATCATAATTATTAAAAAAAAAAAAAACCCATTGCTGTCGAGTCGATTCTGACTCACAGCAATCCTATAGTGCAGAACAGAATTGCCCCACAGAGTCTCCAAGGAGCGCCTGGTGGATTTGTACTGCCGAGCTTTTGGTTAGCAGCCACAGCACTTACAACCACTACGCCACCAGGGTTTCCAATTGTAATTATAAATACATGAAAATTATATATAGCTATCCATTCAGTAAACTACCTGTAGTAACAGAATTACATTTTGTAAAACCAGGATCAAAGTGGAACTTTAGCATGGATGGTCATAGTGCATATAGGCATGGGTTTAGAATTACATTAGCTCAATTCAACCTCATGGTGACTGTGTCAAGTACAGATTCTCATTCCAATTTTACTGATGGGGTAGCTGAGGCTGAGAATGGCTGCTCACAACGTCAGAATTTGAACAAAGATCCCACTGGTGCTAACTTCTGAGTCTTGTCTATTACGTATCAGTATCCCATGGCAGTCCCATGATACAAGTCAGAGCAATGAGAAATAACAGCAGTGTTCCATTAGCAAAAAACACACAACAGGGAAGAGAGCCAGCAGGTGGCAGAAAGGTTGACACGGTTATGATAGAAAATAACATTTAACTAAGAAAGAAAACATTAACATAAGCATTTCAGAGCACATGGGAAAAAATAATAAAGCCAAGATTTGTGGGAAAGAAAATGAATATCCAAAATTTCAAAATTTTTTTTTAAAAAAGGACCACACAGGGGACCTTTCTACAAGCACACTATACAGATAAGCACTGCAGATACCCAGCACTGGAAATCTGTCTGCCCAAATGTCACGCTTTCTTTAGATGCCCTAAAAAAAATAAAATTCCTCAGGTGGGATTTGACTGGGGAAAAGAAAAGTACATAAATGCAAATGGGAGATGGGTGCTTTTAGGTGGCTCTTGAACAGTTCAGGATTTCAAACCAGGGGAAAAGGCTGAGTTTCAGATGGGACCTCCTACCCTCTCACTCATTCAAGCTCTTGGAGAAATGGGAAACCTCTTGCTAATGCCAGCTCTTCAGAGAACCAGCCAAGGCCACGTGAGTATCAGTTTGAGGTTTTTATTTTTTTCCCTCCAGAAATTAGCCAGTGCAGAAACAATCACAGGAAATTTGATTTTATAAAGGCAAGTGGCAAAAAAGAAAACTCTGGAAGAATCATCAGCACGACAGAGGGAGGCTTTCTTGAACCTTAAACAGTTTGGATTCCACAAACATTTGGTCAACACCCTCTTAGTGCCAGGCCGTGTACAGAGATTCTGAGAATTCAAAGTCAAAGAAGACATGAGGGGCGCTTTCTAGGATCCATTAGGCAAGAGAGTAGAGCAGTCGACTGTTATGGAAATATAAGCCTTCTCCATGTCTAGCAAACTTACTCCATTGATTGAAGGAATAAAAGAGGCAAAGAGAACAAATGAGCAGTAACGGGGGAGTTTAACTATTAGAAGATTAAGGAAGACACAAGGAAGAGTAAGAATCAATTGGGCAGTAAATTGTGGGAGCCGCAGAGGACAGTCCCCTTTATGCACTCTGAGTGATACAAAGAGGAAGCCATACAGGAGGATCAATTCTCAGTTTTCTGCAGCTCCGCATAGAGGGTGCAAGTGAAGATGAAAAGGGAGAAGCACCTTGGTGCCAGCAACCACATTTAATTATAACTGTGCAGACTTGGGGGCAGGCTCTTTGGTCAGTGTGAATCAAGTACCAGGAGAAAATAAAAGACAAAGAATTTTAGGCAAGAAATTTTAGCGATGCCAGGGGCAAATTATTAAATTACAACCATTCATTCAGCAAATATTCACTG